CGTAGAGAGAGAGAGAGAGAGAGAGTGTGTGTGTGTGTGTTGTACTGGATTCTTGTCGGGGGCCTAATAGGGCTAAGAGGAATATTGCAATATTTTTTGTTGCTATTTCAGCTGTAATTCCTTGTGTTCAGTTATTGTGGGAAAGCATTTGCAATCTGGCAATCTGCAAATGGTCAGGCTCAGTCTTTTCTCCTCCAATAAAAGGAGAACAGAGAAAACCTTATCGCCAACTCTCAAGAGTTTCACCCAGTGCCCTGTCAGCCGCATGGTTTCAGAGTATCAACTTTTATGGTGGGTCATGAATGACAACATGATCTCTAATGCAGGTAGGTGCCAATCCAGTCCTGACAGACCAATTTGGATCCCAGGTAAACACTGTCCTATTGATTAGCTCACTGAAGTTCTCATAACTATATTTTATTAATATTCATTTTGTGACATAGAGTCATAGACTTTAAGGTCAGAAGGGACCAATATGATTGTCTAGTCTGACCTCCTGCACAACACAGGCCGCAGAATCTCACCCACCCACTTCCACAACTAACCCCTAACCTATGTCTGAGCCACTGAAGTCCTCAAATCATGGTTTAAAGACTTCAAGGTTCAAAGAATCCTCCAGCAAGTGACCCATGCCCCACGCTGCAGAGGAAGGCGAAAACCCCCCAGGGCCTCTGCCAATCTGCCCTGGAGGAAAATTCCTTCCGACCCCAAATATGGTGATCAGCTAAACCCTGAGCATGTGGGCAAAACTCACCAGCCAGACTCCCAGGAAAGAATTCTCTGTAGTAACTCAGATCCCACCCCATCTAACATCCCATCACAGGCCACTGGGCATATTTACTGCTAATAGTCAAAGATCAATTAATTGCCAAAATTAGGCTATCCCATCATACCATCCCCTCCATAAATTTATCAAGCATAGTCTTGAAGCCAGATATGTCTTTTGTCCCCACTGCTCCCCTTGGAAGGCTGTTCCAGAACTTTACTCCTCTGAAGGTTAGAAACCTTCGTCTAATTTCAAGTCTAAACTTCTTGATGGCTAGTTTATATCCATTTGTTCTTGTGTCCACATTGGTACTGAGTTTAAATAATTCCTCTTCCTCCCTGGTATTTATCCCTCTGATATATTTATAAGAGCAATCATATCTCCCCTCAGCCTTCTTTTGGTTAGACTAAACAAGCCGAGCTCTTTGAGTCTCCTTTCATAAGACAGGTTTTCCATTCCTTGGATCATCCTAGTAGCCCTTCTCTGTACCTGTTCCAGTTTGAATTCATCCTTCTTAAACATGGGAGATCAGAACTGCATACGGTATTCCAGATGAGCTCTCACCAGTGCCTTGTATAACGGTACTAACACCTTTTTATCTCTACTGGAAATATCTCACCTAATGCATCCCAAAACTGCATTAGCTTTTTTCATGGCCATATCACATTGGCGGCTCATAGTCATCCTGTGATCAACCAATACTCTGAGGTCCTTCTCCTCCTCTGTTACTTCTAACTGATGAGTCCCCAGCTTATAACAAAAAATCTTGTTATTAATCCCTGAATGCATGACCTTGTGCTTTTCAGTATTTCATTTCATCCTATTACTATTACTCCAGTTCACAAGGTCATCCAGATCTTCCTGTATGATATCTTGGTCCTTCTCTGTATTGGCAATACCTCCCAGCTTTGTGTAACTTTATTAGCACACTTCCACTTTTTGTGCCAAGGTCAGTAATAAAAATATGAAATAAGATTGGTCCCAAAACCGATCCCTGAGGAACTCCACTAGTAACCTCCCTCCAGCCTGACAGTTCACCTTTCAGTATGACCTGTTGTAGTCTCCCCTTTAACCAGTTCCTTATCCACCTTTCAATGTTCATATTGATCCCCATTTTTTCCAATTTAACTAATAATTCCCCATGTGGAACCGTATCAAATGCCTTACTGAAATCGAGGTAAATTAGATCCACTGTGTTTCCTTTATCTAAAAAATCTGTTACTTTCTGAAAGAAGGAGATCAGGTTGGTTTGGCATGATCTACCTTTTGTAAAACCATGTTGTATTTTGTCCCAATTACCATTGACCTCAATGTCCTTAACTACTTTCTCCTTCAAAACTTTTTCCAAGACCTTGCATTCTACAGATGTCAAACTGACAGGCCTGTAGTTACCTGGATCACATTTTTTTCCTTTCTTAAAAATAGGAACTAAGTTAGCAATTCTCCAGTCATACGGTACAACCCCTGAATTTACAGATTCATTAAAAATTCTTGCTAATGGGCTTGCAATTTCATGTGCCAGTTCCTTTAATATTCTTGGATGAAGATTATCTGGGCCCCCCGATTTAGTCCCATTAAGCTGTTCGAGTGTGGCTTCTACCTCGGATGTGGTAATATCTACCTCCATATCCTCATTCCCATTTGTCATCCTGTCATTAACCCTAAGCTCCTCATTAGCCTCATTAAAGACTGAGGCAAAGTATTTGTTTAGATATTGGGCCATGCCTAGATTATCCTTAACCTCCACTCCATCCTCAGTGTTTAGCTGTCCCACTTCTTCTTTCTTCTTATTTATACGGATATAGAACCATTTACTATTGGTTTTAATTCCCTTTGCAAGATCCAACTTTACATGGCGTTTGGCTTTTCTCTCTTTATCCCTACATGTTCTGACCTCAATAAGGTAGCTTTCCTTGCTGATCCCTCCCATCTTCCACTCCTTGTAGGCTTTCTGCTTTTTCTTAATCACCTCTCTGAGATGCTTGCTCATCCAACTTGGTCTACAACTTCTGCCTATGAATTTTCCCCCCTTTCTTGGGATGCAGGCTTCTGATAGTTTCTGCAACTTTGACTTGAAGTAATTCCAGGCCTCCTACGCCTTTAGATCCACAAGTTCTTCAGTCCAATCCACTTCCCTAACTAATTTCCTTAATTGTTTAAAGTTAGCCCTTTTGAAATCAAAAACCCTAGTCATAGATCTATTTTTGTTTATCCTTCCATTTAGTTTGAACTGAATTAGCTCATGATCGCGCAAACCAAGATTGTCCCCTTCAACTGTTTCTTCTGTAGGTCTTCACTACTCACCAAAACCAAATCTAAAATGGCATCCCCTCTTGTTGGTTCAGCAATTACTTGGTGAAGGAATCCATCAGCTATCACATCCAGGAAAATCTGAGCCCTATTATTATTACTAGCACTTGTCCTCCAGTCTATATCTGGGAAGTTAAAGTCTCCCATGATCACACAATTCCCATTAGTATTTACTTCATTAAAAACATTAAAGAGGTCTCTATCCATACCCAAATCAGATCCCAGTGGTCTATAGCACACCCCAAGCACTATTCCAGGGGAGGCTCTAGTAGCTTTCTTCCCCAGTGTGATTTTTGTCCAGACACACACTGTCTTATCCATTCCATTACTTCTTATTTCTTTTCAGTCTACCTCATCATTGATATACAATGCTGCTACACCACCTTTACCTTTATTTCTGTCTTTCCTAAACAGCACATACCCTTCAATACCTATACTCAAGTCATGACTACTATTCCACCATGTTTCTGTTATCCCTATATCATCTGGTTTCACTTTCTGCACCAGTAACTCTAGTTCCTCCATTTTGTTACCTAGGCTCCTCGCATTGGTGTACAAACATCTTAATTGTTGCTGTTTGGCTTCGCTCACATTCTTTACCTGATTAGGCACAGACATTCTACCGCCAGTATCACCTATTAGACTGGTATCTACACTATCTTTCCTCATGTCCATTCTCCTACCCCTGGCTGTATCCTTTCTTACTTCGTTTTCTTCCCTCTCAATGTTAAAATCCGGCGTGGAGATTACCTGGACATCTCCCAACCATCTCCCCCCAAATTCCTAGTTTAAAGCTCTCTTAATCAGTTGCACCAGCCTCCATCCTAGAAGTCTATTTCCCTCCCTACTCAGGTGAAGTCCATCCCGAGAGAACAATCCTCTGTCCATGAATGCCTCCCAGTGGCCATACATCCCAAAGCCTTCCTTATAGCACCTGAGCCATCTGTTGATCATCATGATCTTGTCACACCTTTGCTGCCCTTCCCTAGGAACAGGCAGAATCCCACTGAAGATCACCTGAGCCTCGATTTCCTTGAGCGTCTTCCCCAGCCTGGCATAGTCTCCCTTCATACATTCCAGCGAGAATCTAGCCGTATCATTTGTTCCCACATGCAGGACAATCAGTGGATTCTTTCCCGCTCCCGTCAGGATCCTCTTCAGCCTCAGGTCCACATCCCGTATCTTAGCACTCAGCAGACAGCACACCCTTCTGTTCTCCGGATCAGCTCTGGTTACAGGCCTGTCTATTCTTCTCAGTAAGGAGTCCCCAATCATGTAGACCTGCCTTTTCCTGGCGATGGTGCGATTCTCTGGTCTATCCCCTGTTCCCTCTGGCTGCAAGTCCTCTCGATTCATATTCTCCCTTGCAATCCTCTGTAACCCATCCTGTATCCTCCTGGGGCTCATATTTGGTGTTGTTATCTCCATTGACTCTTCCCCTCTTCCTACAGAACTAGCTGCTCTTCTCTTTTTCCTTGCCCTCCCACCATCAGTGACCACCTACTGTGCCCCTTCTTCATTTTCCAACTCCGCAAACCTGTTCCTGAGCTCTATTTCTCCTTCACTAGCCCGTCTTTTCCTCTGCCTGGTTCTCTTAGTCACATGCTTCCACTGTCCACTTTCCTCACCCAGCAGTCTTCCTGCCATCTGCAAGTATGAGCTTTTTCCTTCAGCCTCCTCATGTCTTTGCTCCATCATCTGCTCGAACCCCCTTCGAAACTCAACCAGAGTTTCCACCTGCATCTCCAATCCTCTTATCTTTTCTTCCATCAGCTCTATCAGGCGACACTTCATGCAGACAAAACTCTTTTCAGGTACCCCCTCCAGGATCAGTTTCCACATCCAGTCATCTTCATTGTGTCTTCCACTGCTTGGGTCACTACCACTGCTGCCTCTGTATCTGTCATAGCCTTCTCACCTAAGTCCTATTAGTCCAGGAAACAAACACCACCCTCCACAGCAAAACAAACCCCCAACAAGCACCACAACACTGCCAGAACATCACACACTCCCTTCACTAGGCTGTCTGTTCCTCTGCCTGGTTCTCCTAGTCTTCCCCTCAAACTCCCCTTGCAAACTCCCACTCAAACTCCTCTGTTTACAGCTCTGTTTGCTGGCTCCTGTGCCGCATGCACAAACATCATGATAAGAAAATCTGGATGCTCAAACTGAAGGAGGACATTGTTCTTACTTTATTCTACTATGCCTCACCCTTCCTCTCCTCTTTCATCTCCAATCATATACAGCTCCATGAGCTTAGTTCTACCCTTAGATACACAGATACAGTTCTACCCTTAGATACTCTCAGTCACTTCAGTGAGAGATGCCCACATCTACTTGAGAGGAAAATGTGGTCCCAAGAGTTCAGAAATTCAACTCTGAAATACTTAACTATTGATATATCATAAGACACCTATATTGTTAAAATGTACCTATGCTTTATATTTGTTATAATTATATTTGAATTGATATTTTGTAAAACATAATAAAACCTGGTTACAAGAATCAAAACTAAATAATTAATATATGTGATTGTGTAAGTGAACATATTCTGTGGAGAATTATTATATATAAAAATACCTGCACATAAAGAGCTGAAAGTGGCTAGTAAACGGATGATGACAGAGTATACTGACATTTTAATAGCAGGAGATCACAGTTTTGTCCTGTTGATGGCACAATAGCACTATGGCTTGATACAATAGTTGAGGAGAAATGAAACTAGGTTATTTTGTAGTTTATGTAATTGCTTTTTACTACACAAATAATCAGGGGTAAACCAATAAAAAAGAGCTATAGGTAACATCTGTGGCAGAATCAGCTTGTTGACAATGTTTTTTCTTTTCCTTCCCCGAATCAAGCAAGAAATCTGATTTCAAGATAAGAGACAGGAAACAATGGGTGTGACCGTGGGGCCCTTCAAATGTAAACTGTAACATAACCTGAAAATTAGATTACTCATCTTATTATTTCATATGTATATATGGTAAATTGTGCCTACCTGAGCAAATGGTGTCACAATCAAGTCATCTCCATGTCTGAAAAATAAACAAAATTATAAATTAGATGTTATTGATGACTATTCTCATTGAAGCTACTTTAAAAAAATCAGGACATAAATTAAGTCTTATAAATTACTTTATTTAACCTTAGTCTTATTCCTCAACATCCATTCATCCCAGCTGCTTTAAAAATGCCTCTGAAAGGAAAACATTTAGCAGTTGTCCAATCACGTGGTGTCTTTATGGGACCGCTGGAGAACCAGTTGATTTTCACGCTGCTTGTTGGACAGATGAACACGGACAGACAGGATGAATCAGCAAAGATCACATTCCCAAACTTCCATTTCCCTCCTTCTTTGAAACTAAACGGAATCTCTTTCATATAAGAGTTAACCAGGCATGCCTATGTGGCTGGTAGCACCCACAATTAGTTTTGGTGGAGGAACCCAGCCCACCTAAATATTGAAAGTGATTTGCATTAAGTGTTACTAACAGATTATAATTTGTGAGCATTGGACAAGCTAGTAACTGCAGATGACTGGGGACTACATCACAGACTAATAAAAACCTAGTTAAACTTTAAAACTGACTCACATATCTGAAGTTATATGGGAGTGTTACTTAATGTGTGCTGTTGCTGTAGCAACCGCACCCACACCATGATAGGTGATGTAGACGCAAGGTGTCATAATGATGTGTCTTAGTGGAGGAGGGAGGGAAAGGGGGTTATCATCTCTTCAGTAACGAAAATTTCTTGTTAGAGGAAACTGGGTTATGGTCTAAAGTAATTCCCACTTCCCTGATGAATAAAATTTCAAAGTTACACAGAAACTACCACATATAGTCACGGCCTGTGTGCGATTTTTTACATTTAGTTACCAGAGGTACTAAGTAACCACAGGGCAAAAAAACTTGGAGGGCTGATGTATACATACAGTTTATCCATTCTTTAATTAAATTTTCACAAAACTGTGACTGATAATGAATATACTGTAATTAACTCATGACAGATATATACACAGTCCGATAAGTCATCATTTGAAATATTTCCCCCCTAATATGCTCCAATAACTATATATAAACTGCTGCGTGGTCTATGAACAATTTGTCTAACATTACTTTTATAGAATAAGGGCTCTAATCCTAGAGTTACCTGGCACCCATGTTCTTTTCAGACAAAATAATAATGCTAGCTTTATCCAACTAGCTGGAACTAGGAGTTTCTAATTTTTATTTTTAAAATAAGGCAAAGAGAACAGTCAATAAAAGCCAGAAAATGATTCACAAAGAAATAATTTAATAATAATTTGTTTTTAATATGCCTGATTTATTGTGCAATAGATATGTCACACAGGTTATAGATTGCAGCTTTAGCACCTGAAATCATTCATCCAAAATTGTTACTGACAGTTTGTATTTTAATGTGCTTAAAATTTTAAACCTATTTTTAATAAGGGAGCTTTCCTTCCACTGGGAAAATTTAAGTATATATGAGAGAAAGACGGAGTGTGTTTAGAAGGGGACTTTTCATAGTAATAAAAAGGTCACTTCTAAGGAACTTTTATGATTAAAATAGAAATTTAACTGGCATTTGATTTGCTAGAAAGCGACTGTTATTATTTAGACAGTGCCCACAAGATAGCAGGTGATTTATAGGTGTTGCAACATCGTGGTCCCAAAAAGCTCTGAATATAAGCAGACAGGCCCAGATCAAATAGAAATTAGGAGCCCAAATACCTTTGATGTTCTGGGACATTGCAACAAAGGATGGGGAATAGGATGAAACAAAATTTAAGTGAGTGACCAGTGATGTCTAGCATACACTTTACTAGTTGCTTTTATTGTCATCGCTTGTATTAATATTTATGTGAATGGAAGAGTAGGTTTTAAGGGGGAAGAAGTGTGTATTTTAAGGGGGAGGGGGTCTTGCAGAAGTAGGTGAAGGCATGCCTGACATGGTCAGGGAAGGAGCTGGCAAACCTCTTAAGGGGTCTAATTTATTTAACAAAAGGCCAAATGTGGTATGTAAACAAGATTTTAACCACCATCCTAGCTGGGGGCAAGTGGGGATGAGTTCACTCTAATCTGCCTGCCCTACCTAAATCCATCAACTTCCTCTGTCTTAGGCTCTTTACCGGTAAGGCCCTCTTGACCTGGGACGAGCCCCTGGAGCCATGCATCTTGCCATCACCTGGAAGAGGGTTCCTTTTCTGGGTTCAGGGTCCCCACAGAGGTCAAACCATAGCAACTCTTCTATGAAAGGGCATATATTTCCTGTTGCTGTCTGGTAATCAGACAGGTCTCCCTAGGGGCTTGGCACTCATAGCTCTTCCTTCCTTTTCAGAACCTTGTGTGTCTTGGAGCACTCTTCCTAGGTTCCCTTTCCTGGTGAGCTCCCTAACCAACAGAGGCTGCCCTAGCTATAGGCAGACTTGGATGGAGATTTCTGTGATGGATGACGCTGGCAGGATGGATGGAACCAGCTGAGGTTCTGAAGAGCAGGATGGAACCAGGCCATGGATGGAGCCAGCTGAGGTTCTGAAGAGCAGGAAATGGTTGCCAGCTGGGCTGCCAGGGAAGCACTCCCACCCCTTCCCCAGCTGCTCCCCACCCTCTGGATGGGCAAGATTGTAGCTGCGGCTCAGGGCTGCTCCTTGGCAGTACTGCAAGCATGGCTGTGGCTTTGGCCATAAGTGTCACTACCTGCCTGGCTTCATGTCAGCACCTAGCTCACACCTTCCACTCTGCACCTGGCCTCCACAACCCAGGCTGCTCAGGCAGCCATTGGCGCCTGCCTTGGCCCCAGCTTCCATCCTGGACTTCCACTACGGCTGGTCCTTCAACTCCAGTGTCCAGGGCTCCCAGCAAGCAGCTCATCCAGAATGGTGCAGGTGGCAGACTGCGGGGGAGCAGGTGTGGCTGCTGTGCTGCATGGCAGGTGCAATCTGTGGGTGTGAAGAGCCAGGCAGGGGTGTGGGCGGGGGTGCACAGGTGCTGGGAACTGCCAGGTGCTGGGCAGGTGGTGAGGGCTGGGGTCAGGCAGGCAAATGGGTGGTGCAGGGGCCAACATGTTGGGCTGAGCTGGGCGTGGGGCCAGAGTGAGGGTGCAAGGACCATGGTGCAGGGACCCCCCTGTGAGAAGGAGTTTGCCACACCCTATGTAAGGGGGATCAGCTTCCCCAGTCCAGGTAGTTTTGTAGAGAGTGGGGGCACCACAGTGCCTGTTAACTAGGGCCCTATGGGCTAGGATATGCCCTTGTTGGTGCCCAGATCCTGTTATGGTTGAGCTGAGCAGCTCCAAGGGTGCTGAGCTGGGGCTTGCCCCACCTTGAGGCTCAGGGAGCAGGTGTCAATCTGTCTGGATAGGACAACTGGGAAGGGTGGCCCGCACTGGGGGTATCACCTGCCTAGGGAGCAAGTCTTGGCTGCATGCAGGGCCTTTCATCCTGGCGTGATGTCGGACTGTTCCCATCCGAAAGGGTCTGTCACTGGGCCCAGCAGCCTCTACAGCCGTAGGCGGGGGTCTGCCCCAACAGCTTCTGACCTAACTGCACAAGTTTCTGGGGGGCATTGCGGCAGCAGGAGAGGCTCTGAGGGTCTGCCACAAACTATTAAGAGGCGAAGAGGTGGGCAGACTGTCTTGAAGAGCCCGTGCTAACCAGCTCTCCTGAGGAGTCCCTCTCTTCAGGGGCTCCCTGTCTTCTGGAACCTCCTAACTGAGCCCTCATAACCCTTTATTAGACCAAGGAGTTCCTTAGCTAATTAACTGCCACTAGGCAATTAAGTACTCACAGATAGGTCTGGGTTGGCTCATTCTCTTTAGCAGAGCCTGTCACAGTTAGGCTGAATGCCTGACCCACTCAGAAGGCCAGAAGGTGACAATCACCATCCTCTTAATAACAGCCCTTAACACAATTGAAGACTATTGTCATGTCCCTGCTAGTCTTCTTTTCTCAAGACTAAACATGCCCAGTCTTTCTCTTAATTTCCATTCACCGTTGCCTATGAGCTATGTAACGTTCTTTAGTGACAGAGCGAAACAACATCTCATAGGGATGCACTGTGGCAAGGTCTCTGCTTGTGAATCCCCCTTTTCCTTTACTCCCCCACATTACTATTTGGGATCTCTCTTGCAGGGCTACACTCTAGTCTATATCTAGCCTACGTACAGATGATGCTTCTTACACCTCCAGACTGGGGGAAGTCGTGTTATTTGCTGCATAATAGCTTGTTCACCTCCTCTTCAATAAAACCTTCTTGCTTGTTTGGCCTTTTTACTGTCTGTGCATCAGCTGGAATCCCTGAATTTTCAAGTAAGCCACTCTCCTGTCTGTCTGATGTCAATCCAATCTATCTACCACTTGGGTCAAAAGCATATAAACAGCTGAGCATGTCCATAAAAATAAGCCCAAGCAGCATGTTTTTTGAAGGGTCTGATCCTCAGTGGGACCCTGTCACTGGGTGCAGAGGCACTATCCTAAAACCAATGTGTAAGGAGTTCTCATTAATCTATCCTGATCCCCATCCTTGGTGAGCTGAGTCATGGAAACAAAAGAGTTAGTTATAAAAGTTATCTAAGGTCATGGTGGGTGGTCAGTAATGTCCCCAAAATTTCAAGTCACTGCTGCCTCTACCCAAAATTGGGAGGAGAATTTGGAGATGCATCCTCTTCCTACTGCCAAAAGCTTCAGTCCTCTCATGGGTAAGGCTAAGATTTTGTCATGTTTATTTTTAGTAAAAGTCATGGATAGGTCACGGGCAATAAAGAAAAATTCACAGAAGGCGTGACCTGTCTGTGACTTTTGCTGCTGCGGCTCCATGGTTTCCCCCACCACCATGGTGGCTGGGAGCTGTGGGGTTCCCCCTCCGCCCATGGCAGCTGGAAGCTGCAGGGTGACCATATTTCCCAAAGAGAAATCGGGACACCCCAGCCGTTTGCCCGAGGCATCTCTCTCCCACCGTGCTGTTGCTGGAACTTTGCCCAGGGGTTCCTGTCGCTTGTTGCTGCAGTCGCTTGTCGCCTGCAACCCCTGAGG